GAGCGCAGGCGGGACGCCCGGGCTGCCTGGGGCGCAGGGGCAGCGCCGGGGCGCGGAGCGGACCCGGGCAGGGGAGCGAGACGGAGGCGCTGGTTACCTGCGGTCCGGGACAGAGAGTCTCTCAGAACCCAAGTCAGTCCTCAGCCTCAACAACACAAGATGGCCGACACGTCGCCACGCATGTCACGTGACAGCGCGCGCTCTGCCACGCCCACGCCACGCCTCGCTCCCGCCCCTCCTCCAGCTCCCACGACATCCTTCCCTTCCGCTGCCTCCCAGACCCTCTACACGGACACGCCCCTGCCCGAGACCCGGATGGAAGCCTGGAAGAGGGCGGGGCAGCGCAGCGCGCAGGCGCTCACTGCATGCCTTGGCCTTAGTTCTTGGCTTGCCCTTGGCTGGGGTGGGTGTCCGGTGTTGGACCCGACCAGGGACCCCGTAACTTACCGTCCTGCACACCCAGTTCACGACCTGTTTGCAATTCAGAACTCTCCAAGACACTTAAGAGCTGATATTCCAGGCTAGGACATTTCTATAGCTTTTCAACCAAACTTTCCTGTCGGTTTGTCACCGCCAGACTAATGGGGAACCTACAAAAGCTGAAATTCAAAGTAGTTTCCCTTCTGGTACAACTGGGAATTCATTCTAGAGTGTTGGAATGTGACAGCTGGGAGGACGGTATAGCTCAGAATCCCTCCTACTACATCCGGGCCTACAATCCTTTACATAATAAAGTGTTCCCATTTTAGTGTTGCCAGAGAACCAGAAGAGGCCCAGCAATGTGTGGGACCTACTTACCCTGAGAGATCGTTGTTTATCTGAAAGTCAGAGTTAGCGTGGTGTTTGGTATTTGTAATGGCTAAATCTAGAAACTCTACCCCTTTTCAGGTCACCTCCTTCTGGTCTTTCCTGCTCATCCATGTCTCTTTCTACAGGATCCTCCCCGTCAACTTTTTTTAAATATCAAAATCTTCACTTCCCCCTGCACCTTTCCACCTCTTTTTGTTTTTGTTTTTTTTCTTAATTTGTTTTGTTTGATACAAGGTCTCTAGGTAGTTCAGGCTGGCTTTGAACTCTGTGTAGCCCAGGCTGACCTCAAACTCACACTGATCCTTCTGCCTCAGCCTCCCCAGCACTGGGATTACATGTCTGCACCAACACGTCCAGCTTCTCTGTTCCCTTTCAAAACCAAACTTCACAGAGTTGTGTGCACATCTCGATTTCCACACCTGCATGCACTGTGAGCCACTCCAATGTGACTTCTGTCCTTACCTGTCTGCCTGTGGCTTGTCCTAAGGATGCCGCAGCCTACAGGTTGATAGAACTAGAGATTTTCAGGCCTCGTCTTGCTTTAGCACTTCCATCTCCAACATGATTCACCACTTCCTGCTTTCTGAAATCCTTTGCTTCCTTGACCTCTATACCCTTCTTGCTCAAAGGGATGCAGTAGCATGAGCACCACCTGTGAGCCTGTTAGAAATGGAGCTTCTCAGACAGGCCCTTCACAACCCCACTCTGCTGAACTCTACCCTCGTCGTCTATGCAGGGCCTTCCTTGCTTTTCCCCCTTGCTCAGGGTCCCCAAACGCCACGCCCTTTTAGCCTTTGCACTTGTCCCTCTTCCTGTGGTGCCATTCCAAGCGTTTCCCCCTCTCCTCTGCAACCTCCTCTACTCCTGCTCATTTGAAAAGCCTAAACTGAGTGTCACTGCCTGCCTGATCGGTTTCTTTAATCCCTCCCATAAGACCAAAGTTAATCCCTTGCACTATAATTTTGAAGGAAAAAGAATACTTGTTATTTGCCAACCACCCCATTAAGTATTCTCCTTGCGCTGTCTCTTGTAATCCATGTGACAGTCTAGGAAGCCCCCGGCTCACCTTCTCTGAATCTTAGCCAGGACCTCCAGGCCAGGCTGGCAGATTCCAGCCATGTCCCTACCCAGCCTGCCATGACACCTCACTAATACAGTGCCACCTGGACATTTTCTGTGTTGACTTTTTTATTGTACCAGGAATCGAACTCAGGACCTCATGCTTGCCAGGCAGATACTGTGCCACTGAGCTATATCTCCGGCCCTTGACTTTTTAATTAAGGCATCATTTATACATAGTAAACTTTAGCATTTTAATGTATGGTTCTGCAACTTCTGACAAGTGTCTACAGGCAACGACCACCAAAATCATCCACAGAAGTTCCCCAAATGACCCTTAGAAGTCAGCCCTTGCCGGGTGTGGTGGTGCACGCCTTTAATCCCAGCACTGGGGAGGCTGAGGCAGGAGCATCGTTGTGAGTTCAAGACCAGCCCAGGCTATAAAGTGAGCTCAAGGCCAGCCTGAACTACATAGCGAGACCCTGTCACAAAAAAGAAATGAGCCCTTACTCTCCTCCCAAGCCGTTGCAGCCAGGGCCAGGTATCTGTCGTAGTTGTACCTTATAATGTCACATAAATAGTACAATGAGGGATGCAGCCTGTTGAGACTCTTTTCTTTCACTTAGCACAATGCATGCTGCATCCACATTGTTGCGTGATTTGTACTTTTTTATTGCTCAATAGTATTTTAGTGTGCGCAAGTACACATGTGCACATGGTACTATTCGTTTACACATTCCTCAAGTGGGGGACGTTTAGTTTCTTCCTAGTTTCACATGCAGGCATTTGTGTGAACATAGGTTTAGTTTTCGTTTTTGTTTTCGTCCTGTTTGCAGTGCTAGGAGTGGAACCCAGGGTCTCACACATGCTAGGCAAGCACTCCACCACTGAGCCACATCCCCAGACCTTTTTTATTTTTTATTTTATTTTGAGATATGGTCTCATTAAATGGCCCAGGTTGGCCTTGAACTTGTAATCCTCTCAGCTCAGCCTCCTGAGTTGCTGGGATTACAGCTGCCACAACCAGTTGCAAAAATAGGTTTTTATTTCATTTAGATAAGCTTCTAGGAATAGGATTTGTGGTTATGCGGTGCTTGTTTATCAGAAACTGTTCTTTAGAGTGCTGTGATTATTATTTTAGCCTAAGCCATAAACTTGCAGATAACAAGAACCAAACCTAAGGGCTGATGATGACAAGACAATAGAAGCTGACAAAAGTTCCATGCCTTTTTTTTTTTTTTTAAACAGGGTCTCACTATGTAGTTCAGGCAGGCCTTGAACTGGCTTATACAGACCAGGCTGGCCTTGAACTCACACTGGTCCTCCTGCTCAACCTCCTGAATGCTGGGATTATAGTCAAGCATGACCACCACATGGCAAATCCCATGCATTTAACCATTGTACACACCATGTGTGCACCCTTAGCTGCAGGCATTGTACTGGCACTTTGTAAATGCTCAACAAATACCTAGAGTTCAAATAAATTCTCAGAGGTGCTTCCTTTTCTCCTTTTAGTCACACTGCCTCTCCAGCGTTTCACCAAATAGGGTATGGTGGCCCACGCTCGTAATTCCAGCACTTGGGAAGCTGAAGTGGGAGTTTTGCCTTGTGGAGAGCTCAAGGCCAACCTGTGCTACATATGAGTTCAAGGCTGATCTGAGCTACATGCCCAGACCCTGTCTCAAAAATAAATAAATAAATAAGAATAGACCAATGTGTGCTCTCCCCAGGGATAATAACAAAGTTGCAGCTTTATTGTATCATTGATAGACACAGAAAGTTGCAAATAATAGATCATTTGGGAATGAGAGTAGGGGCAAGGAGTTTAATCAGAAAGGAGTTTAGTTTGTAAATATTTCAGGCTTAGCACTTGTGATACATTTATTTTCCTAAAAATGACAATCTCTAAAGAGGCTTTTTTCTTTGTTTTTGTTTTTTTGTTTTTCTTCCGGCACCCGGAATTGAACTCACAACCTTTCACTTGCCAGGCAGGTGCTTCACCGCTGAGCTAAATCCCCAGCCCCAAGAGGCTCTTTTGTAAAGAACATTCACCATGCTCTTCCAGAATCTTCCCTACTCTTTCTAGAATCACATTCCTTTCCCGTTGGGCCCTTACAGCCAATAGCAGGCGGCAGGAGTAAACTGCTGGCTCCCAAGATGAGCAGTGACTCAGTTTCCACGTTGCACGATGAAACAGTCTCTTTGGAAATAAAGCTGCCTCTTATAAATCTGGGCGTCCGCAGGCTGCCTGAAGCCCTGGTCACAAGGACAGGCCTGTACATAGCTGCCACAGCAGCAGCCACAACTGGAGTCCCAGGATCAACAACCAGACACCTGAGGGAAAATTCCACCGGATGATGTCAGCCCCATCATGGCCCAAGGTTTCCGGAAGCCGAGACAAGAGTCCTCCCTGTGCCTTGTCTAAATTCCTCAGCCATGAGCATAATTAAAATAAGCCACTGAATTTGGGGCCAGTTTGTTCACAGCAATGGTGACTTGAAGGGACATCAATGTTATGGACTGCATTATGACTCACAAAAAGACACGCTGGTACCTTAACCCCACGTACTTAGAATGTGAGTTAATTTGGAGATAGGTTCTCCAAGGGGTGATCAAGAAAAATGAGGTCACCTGGGAGGCTCCAAGCCAATATGGCCAGTGTGCTTACAAAGGTTGGAACGTGTGGACATAAACATGCACCAGGGGACGTCAAGGGGAGATGAAGGTGGGGCTGAACCTTCTACAGCCGAGATTACTAACAGCCACGAGAAGCCGGGGACAGGCAAAGAACGATTCTCCCTCACAGCCTCAGGAAGAACCAGCCCTCCGCACATTGCACAACGACTTCCAACATCCAGAGCTGAGACAATAAATTTCTGGGTTTTTTTTGGTTTTTTTTTTTTTTTTTTTTTTTGGTTTTTCTCCGG